AGCAGGTTGATTTACTCAGCTGCACATAACAGCAGTATTTTTCTTAACGCTTTGAAACTCTTGAATGAGAGGTGGAGCACTAGCTGTAGACATGTAATGTATTAAGTTTCTAAGACTTCAAAGGGAGCATAATTAACTCAGTGCCGCATAATTGCTCCAGAGACAGAAAAAAAGATGCAAACAGAATTGATATGCCCATTTTTCCCGTTAGCAATTAAATGACAATGCTAAGTGAGCAATTTCTTTTTTAAAATTCATTCTTTTGACTTTTAGGTTAATGTTTCCTTTGAATATTTCAACAACTTTCTATGCCCACTTATATTGTATAGGAAGCAGTAAAAATGAGAGTTCTGCTATCCTCTCCCGTTAGCTAGAATTTCCCCTTCTCTATCCCTCCCTCTCTTAGCTGCTTACTGAACCTATCTCTGTCCTCATCAGAACCTTTACTTTCTGGATATTTCCTTTTATCCCAATCCATCGTTTTCTTTCTAGCTTCATTTGCCTTTCTATAATCCTTGGTAAGTTATTTCTACAAATACTTCTCTTAGGATCTGACAGTCACGTACCCCTTTGACCCACTGACAACTTTACTATTTTCAGACTGTGTGTGTCCCTTACCATCCACAATCCGCACTAGCTGCAAAGGTGTTAAACATCACTGGAGGAAGTTGGAGAACAATATTGATTGGATCTAGAGAGCCCTTTAGTTTTTTCAACTGTAAATTTGGAATTTGGACAGAATGTTTCATGTTCCAAATCTAAAATGTCACGATTCAAGGTATCACTTAAAAATTGTAACAGTGGTTCTTAAAGTACCCTATGTTTGTTCAGTTTTGACCACTAAAAATCTGAAAGAACAGTCTGGAACTTCCAACTAAAGGAGATTAAAGGGATTACCATCTAAGCCTCCAATAATTAAGAAGGAGTTTTTTTTTAATTTTTTATTTATTTATGATAGTCACAGAGAGAGAGAGAGGCAGAGACACAGGCAGAGGGAGAAGCAGGCTCCATGCGCTGGGAGCCCGACGTGGGATTCGATCCCGAGTCTCCAGGATCGCGCCCTGGGCCAAAGGCAGGCGCCAAACCGCTGCGCCACCCAGGGATCCCCAAGAAGGAGTTGAATAGGTATATAAACCAATAACCAAGAGGAAGAAGGGAAAAAACTATCAGGAAAGCTTTTTAAAATAAATTATGGAAAAAAGAAAAACAGATGAAGTAATGATATTTGATGATATATGGTAGAAGAAGCCACAGACTAATTATTGTCATGGGAGCAGTAGCAGAGAGCTTGCTCATCTGTGGAGGCCTAGGAATTTTGATCCTTGACAAATGCCAAGTCAAATGATGGGCAGGAATGAGACAGGAGCTGAAAAGTATGGAAGCAGAGTCAATTCTTATCATTCCCAGTAGTTATGTTCTGAAAATTTCATGAGAACACATAATTACTACGTGCTGAGCCAATGCTCTTAGGGGAAATATGGGATTTGGTTCCTATAAGCCTCTGGTTTTCTTTATGTTTCTATTTAAATATATTTAAACATATATGCAATATATATACTTAATATATATTGTACATGTGATTAATATATGTTGCATATATACACATTTTTTTGTGTCCTAGTCCATTTGGGCTGCTACAACAAAATGCCACAGATTGGGTAGCTTATTAAAAGCAAAAAATTATTTTTCACAGTTCTGGAGGCTGGTATTTCAGTCAGGTACCAGCATGGTTGCATCATGCAAAAGAGGGTCCTCTTTTGGTTACAGGCTCCCTGTATTTTTACTAAGCAGAAGGTGTTAGAGAGCTCTGCAGGGTTCTTTTGAGCATTTAGAATAATACTGACCCTATTTATGAGGAAGCCATCCTCAAGACTTCAGCACTTCCCAAAGGCCCCACCTCCTGAAGCCATCACATTGGGCACAGTATTTCACTGTATGAATTTGGAGGGGGCAAGCACAAACATTCAAATAACATGTTGACTCATTAACATTGAACTCATGGCCAAGGGTACTCATGCCTGAATGGACCTTATGGAAACAGGTATTTTCTCAGTAGGACACATTGCAGTGAGGGCAGCTTTTCAGTGCTCACTGGGAGGCCATTTTAAACAGTGAGATTATCAGCAAATGGCACAAAAAATGCCAAAAAAAAAAAAAAAAAAAAGGGAGACACTAAATAAACTGCAAAAAGGCCATTCGTTTCCAGTATGAGAAGTGAAAGAAGAATACAGAACACAGTTTTGTTCAACCTTAGCTGGGAATATGAGCTGTCAGGCAACTCAGAGTTTTCACAGCTCTGAACATTACTGTGAATGACTTGTGAAAACATCCCTAGCATTGATTTTCAAGTTACAAGTAAACTTCAGTGAGTAGGCAAATTTGCTAATACAGAATCAGTGAATAGAGAGGACTGAAGTTAATTGCATGCTGATTTTCACAAGTTAATTGCATGCCCTTCTCACATACCGGCTCATGCAAAATGTCCTTGAAAGCTGACATTCAGATAAATATAGATGGATAGTCAGATTCTTATCTACAAAAACCAAGCAGGCCATCATGGCTAAATTTGGGAAACTACTGTTGCCATTGTTATCCTAGAACAAAGACCACATATAAACATACATACAAAATCTATTCTTTGTGTCTCCAGACCTTTGGTGCTATGTGCCATCTGAATTCCATACTTTTTGCCTTTTGAACTAATCGTTTCTGGTATTGAGGGGCCAGTCTGTTTCCTAAGTGGGGAAATACTCCTAGAACCCATGGGAGAGCAGAAGCAAGCAGAAAACTGTTTGAAAACAGTTAATTGAAAACAGGAGCCACTACAGAGGTCAGAGAAAATAGCCAGCGTAGGATGGGGAACGTGGTGGGTTCACATTCTTTCTGTCATTCTTATATCACTGTTTGAGACCACAGACTAAGACTTAGTAGAGTTTGGAGACATAAAATCAGTGATTGTGAGATACAAGTGAGAAGAGTAGTGGCTGGCTAGAGGAAAGAGAAGTGTCAGGAAAATCACAAAAATAGATTTTATATGCTTGTGAACAAAGATGAGAATAGTAGATTATTACAGGTATCTAAGTTCAGAGGCAAGGATAGGGGGCCATGGTCAGAATACAAGTCTAGATCATGAGTTGGCAAAAGTCCTTGGTCATCTTGTCCCACTTCTCAGCTGATTACTTCTGACTGCTTAGTAAATAAATATACATGAATTGTTATCTGGCACTCACAGACCTTTGCCATTTGGTTTCTATCCATGTGTTACATTGTGTGTGTCACTTCTCTTTTTCACATATCCTACTTTGAATCTATACAAAGCTATTTGCTCTGTTTTGAGCATACAGTCAAGGACTGTGCCTTTGCACATCTTGATTTTCTTTTCAGTTCACCTAGTATTTTTTGAGCATCTGCTATGGTCAGGCATGTGCTATACGCTAGAAAAAATGACCTAGAAGTTACCATGTCTTAAGTATTTACTAGGTGTCACCCCCTATATCCCCCTTTAAGGCATTTCATAGGATCTCTCATTTACATTACACATTTAATAAGTTGAAATCAATATATTACTCTCATTTTATTGATGACAATTAATAAAATGAGAAATGCTAGGTAATTTGCCAACCCCACATGACCAGAAAGTGGCTGGAATGGACTTATATTCGTCTGTTGTATACCACACTTTTTTGGTGAAATCCTACTCATGATAGTAAATCTAATTCAAATGTGCCTTCTCAATGAAGCCTCCTCTGATTTCAAAAATCCATAACCAAAGACAACCAATAAATCCTTCAACCTCAATTATTATGATTTTAAGATTCCAATTTATATGTATTTGTGTATTTATCTTGAATTTTTCAGCAGATTTTGTGCTTCTTGAAGGAAAGAATGAACTCTTGTAGAATTGGAAATATTCTTTCTATTGTGGAAAAATCTAGACGTTCAAAAGAGATTCTCTGAGTAATTTGCTAGATTCGAAAAGGTCAAAGTTCTATATTTGTCCTTAACTGCATAACAAAGTTCTCTATTAAAATGTTTTAAAAGTGGCATTATTGATAGTTTTCCAAAATTTTTATTCTTAGGATTTATATTCTGCTTCATTTCCTTGATACCAATTAGATTATAGAGTGTCCAAGAATTTCTAACACATCCCTAATTTGGAGGCTTATGACACCAGTTTGAAAGCTAAAGATAACTTCCTAGAGAAGTGAGTAAAGAAATATTAGTCAAAGTCACCAAAATTAAAAATACTACTTATAAAGCACATGTGAAAGTATGCAATGTCATGACCAGTTCTAACACTATATAAAATTAAAACTTGAAGTAAGGCAAATGACAATAACCCTGTCAAGGCAATAGCAAGCATTTAGAACATAAAGATGTTATACCAATCATTAAAAAGTCTTAATTGTAGTTTTACAAAGTTTTGGAGCTTCTAGCCAAATGAACAGATACAATTTAAATTTTGAAGATACAGCATCATAAATGCAGGATCATAAAATGTACTTTGGGCATCACTTTGCAGAGAGTTTCAGACTGTTTTAATTATTTGTCTTGGTACAGAGTTCACAGAATGGAAGTATATTGGCTCTATGTTTTTGTAAAAGTAATGATGTGCAGGCAATGACAGCCTGGTTCAAGTATATCTTCTCTCAGAGGTAAAATTCTGACTTGCAGGAATTGAAAGATTAGTTGGAAAATTGTGCCTCTGTGAATTTATTTTTGAATGTGTTAAAATAATTCAGGGTCAACAATACTTTTAAACTCCCAATGACATTTCTTAAGATCCTCCTGTCAATGCACTTAGATATAGAAGTACAAACATTCTCAGCAGTTAACTGGATGGATGCAAGAAGCAAGGAAGTTGGTGTGCTACCTCCATTAGTGCTAATGACAGTCACGTGTAGTTCATTCTCTTACACTGCTCTTAATTTTCAATTCGACTGTGAGGTCTGTTCCAAAGCATTAAATTTTTTCACCCTACCGCAACAATTTTTACTCACCTCAGTAATGAAAGATTTGGCTGTCGCAGGATTCATAACAAGGATGGCTCGCCTAAGAGTGTCTCGATAGCGATTCAATTCCTCTATTCTCAAGGTGTCAAAGAGAGTGGTGATCATTTTATTGATGTTGTTTTCTACCTTCTGCAACGCAACATCCATTCCCTGCTGAGACACCTTGTCCAAAAACTCCTGAATTCCACGGATATCTAGGAACATCAAAAGCCCAACAAAATGTGAATTAGACCACAGACGGGAGATAAAAGCTACTTTGCTCACACCAAAATGCAGTTTATTGTTCAACATTGTAGGCTATTTAAAACTAAAAATTGAGTAGCTGATAGAACTCTCAAATATAGTTTAGGCATAATACGATTTAATGTGTTTACATAAAAAATGTAGTAGTTTTTGTTTGTTCAGTGAATTGCTTTCTTTCCGCTGAGCATTTAAATGATCTCACCTCTAAAAAGTCTTAGGACAAGGTAGAGGGAAACAGTTGAAGAGGACTCTCACTTGTCTAAAATAAATGTGAGATAAGGAAAGTACACTTGTTATTTTGTTTAGCATTAAAGAGTGATATTAACTTTAGGTAAAATATGAATATCATTAATGGCAAATGGATCTAAATCAAAATTACTAATGTTTCTAAAACTAGGCAACAATATCACTAAAACTTGGCATCTATGATCTAAGTAGAAAGGGGGTTTTGAGAAGTTATACTTAAGGGTTTCAGGTCACTTCGACCACAAATAAGCCACATTTTTGTCTATTTTGTGAGTACTACTTCCTTACCTCAAATATAGCGAACTTGATAGGAGACAGTTTTTTTTTTTTTCAGGAGTATGGGGAATGTACTTTGTGTATAAAGCATATTTTAACAATATATTCACATACCCATTCCAAAATGAGCGAAGTTCTAAAAGATTATCAAATAAAAATGTGAAGAGCACTGGGTGTTATGTGTAACTGATGAATTACTGAACTCTACATTGGAAACTAATGGTATACCATATGTTGGCTAATTTAATGTAAATTAAAAAAAAAAGGAAAATGCCATTATTTTGTATTTAAATGAAAAGGATAAAATCCAGTCTAAATGAAGTGTTTACAGATTGTACTTTGATGTATGTTTAAGTAAAAATAAGTGTCTGAAATGCTACAAATATGTCTTCTTCGTACTGCATTGGTTGTTTATAGAAAGGATCTGAACATTGATAAATGTGGCTGGAAGATGTACCTGTTACAATACAATCTTAATATAGCATATTGCTCTTACTGTACAATAAACTATATTTTTCTGTATATATCCATGGCATAAAATGTTTAAAGGGAAAAACTGGTGAAAAGTAAGTAATAGGGATTATAGGTTACTTACTATGAATGGACTATATCTCGAAATTCCCAAAGGTACATGATTGCATGTATGTAAAATTGCCCCCTCAAAGGCAATAATTAGTTCATGTGTTTTTCAATATATTACCAATGAAAAGCAATATATAAGCCCACAGAACAAGAAAACAAATAGCCACAAGTTTGGAAACTGATACGTGCTCACAATAAGATTTTATATTTGCAGGGTTAAAAGTTAATAAAAAGAACTTTGCTTTCTTTGTGTGATTAATTGTATTTTAAAATGATTTTATAAATAGTATATGTTATCTAGTGAATCTCAAACTCTTAAAATCAATGACTGTATGAATTCCACTTTGTATTATCTGATTCCTAATTATATTAGAAACCCAGGATGTCAGAATATAGGAGCCTAAAAGAACAAAGCCTCATCTAGAGCAGAGCAAGAGATGCAAAAGCAGAAATAACATAGTAATTAGTAATTGTGGGGCAGCCGGGTGGCTCAGCGGTTTAGCACCACCTTCCGTCCAGGACATGATCCTGGAAACCTGGGATCGAGTCCCACATCAGGCTCCCTGCATGGAGCCTGCTTCTCCCTCTGCCTGTGTCTCTGCCTCTCTCTCTGCATCTCTCTGTGTCTCTCATGAATAAATAAATAAAATCTTTTAAAAAATTAGTAATTGTGTACTCATTAAATATCCAAATTGGAAAGTACCCGAGTATTTTATAAAATACTCAAGTGTGAGTTAAACAAAAGGTTAGAAACGGGTAGACCTATAATAAGACTATGAACATACTCAATGAGTGTTCTTAAACTTTGGTATGAATCAGAATCATCTGGGAATCTTATTAAAAGTACAGAAGCCTGGGCCCATCCCAGAACCGATATGCCTTTAAAATTTGTGTCAGAGCAGATCCTTGATTTTGAGTTGTAAGTCATTGTTGTTGCTTTATATTGAAGCACTTCAATGGACAGCTAAATATAAGACAAACAAAACAAGTAATATATTGAGATATACTTTGTGACCAAAGCTCATTAACTTTCTAGGAAATCTTCTATTCACAGATCTAATATTCTGGTGCAATTTCATATCTTAACTTTGAGAAAAAGAAAAACAATGTTCCACAAAGTATTTTTACTGAATACAGATACAATGCTGGGTGCAAAGAATATAACAGTGAATATACACTTCCCCACAATGAGATAGATGGTGAGCAAGTAAACTAATCAATACAAATCAACCCAAAAGCTTGTAAGGAAACAATTAGGGTGCTCTGGTAGATAATGACAGGGTGGCAAGGAGGATGTATTTTAGTTATCATACTCAAGCAAGGTTTCTCTGGGAAACTGGCACTTAAACTGATCTCAAAGATGAGAAGTCATTACCCAGGCAAAGAACTAGGAAGAGAAGATGACAGTAAGGAAAATGCCAAAAAGTAGCGAAGAGTTTGTGTTTGAAGAACGTAAAGGATTCCAATCTGGGTGCAGCCACTTTAGTGAGGTAGAGTGGAACGAGGTGAACATGCATGGAGATGGAGGGTCAGATTATGTGTCTCTTGGTGAGATACAGAAAGCAGTTTTGATTTTATCCTAAACACAATTTTAATCTATTGAAAGCTGAAGTAGAAGATCTCAGTAGATGACAAGCTATGCATACAGAAAAGTGGTTTCAGTCTGAGAATGACTTGTTAGTATAGCTCAAATTGAGCTTGTAAATGATTTCCTCTTGATTTAAAAATGTATGGAATTTATTTAGCTTTTGTTTTGGCCAACAATTAAGTGATATGACATTTTGTTATTTAGCCAGAAATGTGATGTGATAAAAAAGAAATTGCTATGGTCCCTTTGCTTCCTTAGTCTGGAATTCTGGTTATCACTGTCTGGATGATGTGATTGTAAACTTTTCAATTTGATCTATTAATGAGGAAATATTTATTTTATAGATGTCTTCAAAGATCAGATTAGTGAGGGTGTGCACAGGCATGCATGTGTGCACAAAATCCAGTGTAAGGTCTAACACATAGTAGTTACTACTATTGTTAATAATAGCGCATAATCACTTAGTAAGAGACCACCCCTTTCCACAAATATAGAACATTATTGCCTAAATTTACTGTTGGGTAGCTACCCAAAATAGCAAGCATAACAGTTTGGATTCTTGGAATGCAGGAATTAAATAATTATTGCTTTGCTTAAGAATAACACTAAACACCCATGATATGTGGCAATTAGTAAGTTTAATATGAGAAGAATCTGAATCATGCTATTAGATACTCTGAAAGAGTTATTAAAAGAGAGAATGGGCCTTTGGTTTTATTAATTCATGAACATAATTAACCATCACAAGTTTTCAGCTACCTTATCTGTGTGTCTATTACTTGACAAGAAGTAAAAATAAAAGTCACAGAAACAAAAGAGATAAGTCATGATGCTTAACTTCAAGGAGCTTCTAGGCCTATGGGTGTGACTAAGTCCTATTTATTAATAACAGAAAGTTAAATCGTAGTTTCAGTTCAGTAATTCCAGTGATTATTAATTCTACTGACCAGAAAATTCTAAATAGCAAGTTGTGGGAGGCTCATTAACTGAGTTATTAAACATAAGATTAAGGGGGAAAAAACATTTTCCTGGGCACTATAAAGGAACTTGTAGGCAGAACAGTGACCTTCCAAAGATGTCCAAATCCTAATTCCCGGAATCTGTGAGTAAATTATTTAAGCAAAAAGGAATTAATGCTCCTGATGGCATTAAAGTTGCTAATCATTTGAGCTGAATATGGCGAGATATCCTGTATGATTAGGGTGGGTCTAGTGTGATCACAGAGTCCTTAAAATTAGAAGAAAAAGAGAGAAGAGAGTCAAAGGGAGATCTGACTCCTGAAGAATGAGTTTGAATGAAACTTCAGAGAGATGCAACATTGCTGGCTTTGAAAAGGGGAGTGGGCAACTCCGGCAAAGAATTGTGGATAGTAAAGGTGAGGAAGGTTCTTTCCAAGAACCTCCAGAAAGGAACACAGACTTGCTGCTATCTTGATTTTAGTCTATTGAGATCTCATGTCAGACTTCTGACCCACACAACTGTAAAATAATAATTTGTGGTGTTTAAGCCTTTAAATTTGTGGTCATTTGTTACAGCAGCAATAGAAAACTAATATAGAAGTATACTTTGGTCCTTAGGTCACCATTTTTCAAATTGTGGTCCATTTAATTAATTTTGGAATCATCTGGAGAACTTGTTGAAAAATAAGTTTTCTGAGCCCCTTTCCATTCCAATAAAATACAAACTCTCATGACAAAGCACAGAGATTTTTCTCAGCTGATGATTCTTAAGAAACCAGTTTTGGAACCAATGCCCCGATTTCTTAACTTCTTTATGTTACAGATTCCTTTGAAAAAAAACCACGAAGAGTATGGATTCTCCCTTCCCCCATGTATGTACATGCCCGGAACATTATGCGTACTGTCTAGATTATGGTCTCAGGCTCATCTGTTTGCTTTCCTTACAGGTAGTTTTTAGAGAACCTTGATTAGCATACTGTCACTACTCTTAATGATTTTATTCTATTCATGCTGTATAGGAAGGTAAAGCATAGATAGTCACATGTTAGCTAATAATGTATATTACATTTTAATTAGAGAAAACTTTTAAATCAAAATATTAAGAAATATGCCAAACATGAATACCTTTCCCAATAACATTTAATTGGTTTCAGTTATCAATTAGTCTTTCACTATCCTTCAGTCCTAAGAAAAATTTATTATACTTTAGAAGATAGAGTTTCCAGGAAAGCAGACTCTAAAATAAGGATGGAAGAACAGGAAGTGTGTTAGGGACGGTTCTGAGGAATAACCCTTGTGA